TTGCTAGAACTTGAATTTGTCATGGTTATCGGAATAGACAACCTTTTTGAACTGAAAACCATTGTATATCGGATCTTCTGAATAAAAAATTAGAGATTAGTTAGATGTTAGATGCATAATGCAAGATAAAACGATTGATACAAAATAAAGAAAAAATAGGCGAAAATTACAATGAAGACGATGAGAAACCCTATTTTGAACTCTGAATCCGGTTTAAAAGTGATAAGATTCTTTTCAAATTCAAAATTATTTGAATTTGATAACTGAAACTGTAATGGGAGAGATTGGGGGCAAAATTTAGGGAATGAGAAAGATCTGATTTTTCTTCAAACTAATAAAAGTATCCGGTTAAGTTGAATTGGGGGAAAATAAGAAATTTTTGTATTTTAGTAAAAGAGTAGGGAAATATTGAGAATAGGTAAAGAAGTGTTGTGTATTTAAGTAATTTTCCCTTTTTTGTAATTTTTTGAAAGATAGGAGTTCACAAGTCACGACCAATATATCGAGATCGATGACGTTTATATATAGCCTACAAAGATACAAATTCGTATGAATTTTACTTGGAGATTAGGTGAGTAAACCTATCGAAGTTGTCCCCAAATAACGATTCTTAGCACTTCGTTTGGATAGTTATTGTGTTGTTAGTTTAAATATAATATTAATTTTAATTGTTATTTAAATTCTATTGTATCGTATCATTTAAATCCATTGTTAAGTAACAACGAAAAAACACACTTTATATAACTAATTAAATCACATTGTTATCTTAATATTTTCTTCTCATTTTATTTTTATTTATTATTAAATAATCACATTTCTTCTTTTATTGTATCTAACAATCATATTTATCTTCTAGCCTACCTTTTATAGTAACTCTACTTGTATCCCACTTTATCATATTACATTTCTTCTTTTATTGTACCTAACAATCATATTTATCTTCTACCTTACCTTTAATAGTAACTCTACTTGTATCCCACTTTATCATTGACATTATGTAAGAACGATACAATCTGTCCTTCATTAAAATAAAGTATGATACAATTTAATATGATACATTTTAAAACATGACATTATATAACGACGGAGAACGATAGTACTATCTATTATACATAATGTAACAACGGAGAATGATACAATCTATCATTCATTAAAACAATACAATACGATACAATACAAATATGAAAAATAATACAATCTATCATTCATTAAAACAATACAATAGGATACAATACAATAAATTATAATACGATACTGAAACAATTAAGTGAAAATAAACCTAATGTCTTCTTTCTTTCCTCTTCCAATAATCTTCCCTTTCCTATTTCACCTTTAAGAAAATAATCTTGTGAGAAAATAAATTTAATGTCTTTTTTCCTCTTTCAATAATCTAATTCCCTTTCCGATTTCACCTTTAAGAAAATAATCTTAATGTCCATTCTCCTCTTCTATAATCTTCCCTTTCCTATACCTTTAAGAAAATTATCTAATTATCTTAATGTCCATTTTCCTCTTCCATAATCTCCCCTTTCCTATTTCACCTTTTAAGAAAATAATGTTGAAGTCCACTTGCCTCTTCCATAATCTTCCCTTTCCTATTTCAGCTTTAAGAGGATATCTTAGATGCCGTTTGGAAATTATAAATTTATGTGTGTTCATGAAAATATTGCCCGTGGGGTTGGGGGAAGCAAATTCAGCCAAGTGAATTTCAAATCAAACTTTAAAAAAAAACTGACATTAGAAGATGTTCATGCTTGTATACAAATAAGCAAAAAGGAAATAAGTTGTGCAAGTACATATTAGCAAAAAAACCTTTTTCACTAAATTATTCAGATTAAACTTGCACTAATTCCTGTTGCTCAAAATTTCTTAGGATCACCAGAACCCCCTGCACGCCTCCTCTGCTCCACCACATCTTCATCCATCGTATCTTCCTTCCGCTTACCCGTACCCATACGATCTTCGATATAATCATCAACTGACTTCTTATCATCCTCCGCCGAACCAACAACAGTTTCCTTAATCTTCTGAGTTGTCTCTTTCGCCGCTCCCATAGCATCCTGCATTGCTTGCTTAGCTTTATCAGCTATTGCCTGTGCCGTCTCCGCAACTTTGCTTCCCCCTTCTTTCGTCTTATCAGCCATGGACTCTGCAGTGTCCTTAGTCTTCTCCTTCATGTCGTGGGCTCGCTCTTTCGCACTCTCTTTAGTGTCATGTGCCATTTCGGCTGCCTTGTCTTTCCCTTCTTTTGCTTTATCGGATGCCTTTGCAGCCATATCGTTTGTTTTGTCTTTCATGTCTTTGGCTGTACGCTTAGTTTCGTCCATGGACTCTTTCATATCGTCTTTTGTTTTATCAGCTATCTCCCTCATAGGAGATTTATCATCTTTAATACCTCTATCGAAGTCTTGTCTTCTTTTTAAGTCCTCCGATGCATGGAATCCCTTGAAACATAAATGAAAAACATTTTTTTGAGTCCAACAACATATCCACTATATATAATCCCATACATTGAAATACATTTGAATCCTTCAAACATAAAATGAAGAACATTATTGTTCCGCCACCATTTTTTAATGTATTTGATTGAGGTGTGCCACTAATCTAAAGTTGTTAACCGATTTTTGTAGCAAGTTGGCAAAACACTACTCCTCCTGTAGAGTGACTCGGCACAGGAAGACTTCTCTAAATACTTATGGTCTAAATAAAAAATTGTGTAACTATAAATCATTTCATTAGGAATAGAATGAACATTTTAAAATTAAATTGTTACTTAATACTATAAAAATATGTCATTCTTTTTTACACTGCCTAAAAAGGAAAATAAATCATATAAATTGTCCTGGACAGAGACAGTAAAAAGGAAGATCTCAGCTCCTACAATAATTTTTTCTTTTTACACAATTAGACCACTTGAGAGGTGGCTGAGTAATTTCTTTATTGCTACAAACAAAATAAGTTAAGAGAAATGTATTATCAGCGTAAAAATATATTGACTCAAAAGTAATTGCAAGTGACTAGATCTATTTAGAGTTAATTCTTAACAAAGAATAAATGTCAAAAGGAACGTGATATATAACATGTAAAACACATCGTTGGAGGGTATCTAACTTATAAATCCAAAGTTAAAAAATGTAAAAACATGTCACAACCGTCTATTACAATGAACTAGCAATTTGAAACAAATATTCTCCCCGCTCAATTTGTTTGTCTAAGACCACAAAATTAAAAAGACATTTGGTACATTTTAACATTTTTTTTTAAATTTAAAATCTTATTTACCTTTCTTAGCCCGTGTCAAATAGTCAAAAACAGAACAAACAAACAGAAACAGAGAGAGTATGTACTAGTACAATATTACCTCAGAATGATTAGGGGAAGAGGAGAAGCAGATTTTGTGACGAATGACAAGAGATGTTGTTTGAGGAATAGTCTTCAAAGGGTAGAAGAAGGAGACATTACGGCGGATGAAAAGAGAAGAGGTTCGAGGAAGTGACTTTGACAGGTTCAAAATGGCGTTTTTTGTGATTGACATCGCTGCCATTCTTTGGTTGCTATCACAAAAACTTAGGCTTGAGAGTAATTTTTCTTTTTCTTTTTCTTTTTCGTGAATGTGATTTCTTGCAGTTTCTGTGTTACAGTTTGCACTTCTTTCATTCGGCAAATTGGCTTTGATATTATAGTGGCAAACTTGCAAAAGATAAACAAATTGGTGTCGTCGTTAGAGTATGACACGTTTGATTGTAAACGCCACGTGTAGTGAACATATTCAAAATTGTTACACGACGCACAAGTTGTGATTGGTGTTACACACAGATGCAATTGACCTTATTTTTCCTTTCCTTTTGTTTTTGCAAGAGATTACCACAGTTGATGTAAAACACAATTTTTAGCTTAATTCTGTACATATATAGAATTAATAAAAATACGGTTTATCTAAATATTTCGTACACGTAATGCTTTTCTTATAAATTAAAGGGTAATGCTAAATGGCCAAAAACTTCATATTGTCATCCCGAGTTGAGAATTAGTAATTGACTAAAAAACTAACGAGAACTGTTTCATCGAAAAATAAAATAAAAGAAGAGAAGTTTATAAACTAACTTACTAAAATGAAAGAAAAAGAAACTAAAGACCAAGAATTGACTTCATTTTATTTTTAAGCTCTTTAACTTCTTAGAATTTAAGAAGAAGCTCATGAGTTTTGTGTTTTGAATGATCAACTCGATTAATATTTTAACTCTAATTAAAAGAGCTGGTTTTTAGGACCTACTGTCTCAAAATAAAAAATTGCTCCTCCCTATGCATAAGCGTATCTATAAATTATAATACGACTTAAAAAATAAGCATACATCCAGAATAGTGAAATTTACCATATATTTAGAACAACTAAAATTTATCATACAGATGCTTTCAATCGCATTTGAGCAAACTCTACATCCAGAACAACAAAATTTATCATACAAATACACTACCCGTGCAACTCGCCACAATAACGCATTAAATCCCGAAAAATGCATCTTAAAATATTATTAACGATCGAGTAGATTTCATATAAAGTACTACAACTGAGACTAGACAAATATATCGACATCGATAGATAAAAGGATTCCGTCATGTTGTTACGACTTCATAAACATAATTTATCGTAAATATCCAATCAAATCTTATCTTATTACAATCTTTTATCAAAGAGGTAGGCCCCTAGACTTTTTACAATTGTAACACGACGTCTGAGATTGAATATGTGGTATGAAATTTATCCTGCCTAAATTTTATATCATCATTCCATACAAACACTGAACTCTTCCAGGCTTGCATTAGTTTCTCATTACTCCGATCCCTCATTAATTTTTTATTAATTATGTGAAATCATTTAATTTGACATAAAATATAAAATAACCTGACTTAAAATTTATGATCTAAAACGACCTTAAGATCGAAAACATCGTCAGATATCGTTTTGATAAAATAGAGGATTGTGGATATAATACTATGAAAAAAAAGAAGGAAGCTTTGCAAAGTATGATCAGTGCTCTGATTATTCATTCAATCTAGGCTAGTAGAAGTAGATTACAAAGTTCAAGCTAGCTAGTCCATTGTACTAAAAAAAAAAACCAAAGAGAAAATGATTTTCAAGAGGGTTGTGGTTTCTTCTCAACAATGGGTCTCCAATTGACATTCAAACCTTTATCTTCATCCACAGGCTTTCCTCCTGCTTCTTTAGCCAACTTCTTCTTAAGGTCTTTCTCATCTTCCACAACAATTTTCTCTGGATCTATATTTCCCACCACTTTTTCTTTCAACTCTTGAGCAGTATCCTCAATAGCTTTCCATGCATCTTGAGTTGTTTTAGTGGCTTTATCCTTCACTTCTTTCGCCTTATCAGCAGCCATTTCAGATACTTTACCACCCGTTTCATCACTATCGGTCCCGTACAACTTCCTGCTCTGTTGTTCCCACGCCTCCTCTGTTGCAGCTCCCTTTAATACATGAGTAGTACTATTTTAACATATATATATATATATATATATATATATATATTGAAGGTCTCAGTTTTTCTTTATCCAATGTTTGATATTTAGATTGAATTTCCCGATTAATTCGATTTTGAGACACACCGAACCAATCAAAGAGGAAAGTACTCTATAGCTAAACAAAATATTATTACGAGACTCAAACCTCAGACCTCTAGTTTAAAAAGAATTGAAGTCCAATTCTTACCTATAATAAATTTTAGGTTAAATTTTTCTTTTTAAAGATTGACCACAAAACAATAAACGTCTCATTAAAGTTGACTTTAGGCGATCAATCTTATTGAGCCATTCTACCAGTATATTATTGTTAATCACCAATAAAATTACTCAAAGACAATTGGTGCATGAACATGGTTTTTTTCTCATATATATATATATATATATATATATATATATATATATATATATAATTAAGCATGTTTTTGTTTGACCGCTTCAACAATAGGTAATTTCATGCAACAAACTTTAAATTAAAAGATAAATTGAGAACTTTTCTGTTACAAAAAATATTTTTTATATTTTATAAATAAATGTGGATTCAATTATAAATGTATGTAAATTTGATTAATTTCAAATTCTGGATGGATTTATGGCTTGTTCATTATATTTATATATGTAGGATGACTAACCTTCCATATTTGACGACCAATGAAGATAGAGGAGGCTCGATGTGGGAAGGCTTTAGAGAGGTTGAAGATAGATTTTTTGCTTATGGACGCCATTGATGCTTCTGTTTCAGCTTTTGCTTGGACACTTTTTCTTTTTGGTTGATGAAAAAAGGACTGAAGATGATTCTAAGGTTTTAGTTAACTCTTTTTCGTCACAACGTTCTTGAGAATTTGGTTCATAAAGGAAGGGGGTTGGGGTGGGTCTCTTGAGAGTGACACGTTTAGAGGTTTATGTGCCACTTAATTTCTACGGTTGGACACGTGCCGCACGTTAATTCTTGGCACAGATACCATTTTGCAAGATCACATCACTGGAACGGAATGAACCGTCAAAAATCTCTTCAGGTGGGCTCCCTTTTTCGGTAGATGAGATTAGGATGAAAGGTATTATCTCAACGCCACTTCATTAATCACTATCCGATAGATATCTACAGTACTACTATCATATTCAGCGTGTTTTTAAAAGATGGAACAGAAAGTTAAAATGTGCTAAAAATTGTGTCTTAGGTAGTATGGAGGATGTTTGAAAAACTAGATACCAAATGGATGAATTACACTAGTATGTTTTAGACCCCCCCAACCAATGTGACATTGGTCCAGGTTGAGATGTTGACGACTAGTGTTAAATTTATGAATTTATAGAAGAAAGATTCTGTTTGAGAAGGCTGCATTTTGAAATTTACATAATTAACAAATAATCACTTGCAGAAAAATTAAATGGTGCATCTGCAGCTTATCCCAGTTGAGACTTTTTTTCTACAAAAATCTTGAAGATACAAATCAAAGCAACGGGAAGAAAGGAAGGTCTTCATTTCCAGAGTTCTTCCATAGGAATGCCACGTTCTTGAGCAACTTCACTGAATTGCCTCATCTGCTGAACAGCAACAACAGTGGCTCTGGCATTGTTGAGGGCATTGTTACTCCCAAGCTGCTTCCCCAAAGCATTCTCAACACCAGCCATTTCAAGAACGATCCGCACAGCACCACCAGCAATCACTCCAGTACCAGGGGCTGCAGGTCTAAGCATCACTCTTGCTGCTCCAAAGTCTCCGTCAGATCTGCAATTTAGTGTTCAGCAATATTAGATCCCCAACTTATAAACCAATATCAACATGATTCTTTTTTTCCTTTGGACAATGGTACTATTCCACCTGCTATCTTCAACTAATACACGTACGAGTAACTCTTACCCACTAAGACTTACAAAAATATAAAGAAATTTTCTAAAGCTTGCGTCTCTACTGAAATTTGAACATTGTCCACTTCATTGGTTGCAAATAGCAAGGTACTAATTCTTTCACAATGAGCTGCCTAATTCAATCAATATTTTTGCAACTACAGTCTACATACATGGCAAGGCAAATGCTAAAAGAAGATTTCCTCAAGGCAAGATGTGGTAAAACCTTTAGACGAATCAGTTTTTCTCATCAAACGGCTGCAAATATGTGCATCCCTCTAGGACAACAATAAATTAAAGAGGATCAGAGAGTAAAAAAACTTCTCATATAAACGTATTCCATCCCCTCCAGGCCTCTCATTTCATTCCTCCAGATTTAGCAATAGAGGTGCAAGGATAACCATGACAAGAAACAAACTTCAGCTCTATAGTTAATACACGTCCTAATATATATAGCCCGCCTGTCTTCAACATAATTAAACATAGCACCACTGCTAAGTCATAACTTTCATTACCATGTTTCTCAATTCTTCAAAGAAAAGAATTTTCAAAAACAAACACCACCCAAAGAAAAGGAAAGAGACTTGAAAAGAAAAGAACTCCTGATATCACCCTCCCCTCCCACAAAAGAAACTCAGAAAAAGACATCGACAGCTAATAATGCAATCAGGGAATAAAAATGAGGATAGATCAAATTGATCTCTTTCAGATGCATAGGCTAGAATCACCAATGACCAACTTGTTTATTTATTAGACTGACAATCTAGTTAAAAATCTACAGAATTTCCTTCATGTTACAAAACTTAGTAGTTTTCCCTGCTAACATATCCGTCTAAATGGTGACACACACACACCAAAACAAATCTACAAAAAGTTGCTACTTTTTTTACTTTTTCACTGAATATCCTTTCTTAAAGTTGAAGAGGAGAAGCAATCATTTTTATGACTTTCACATATTTCAGACAGATGAAATAGTGGACATGTACATTTTGTCACCTATTAAATCAATGAAAACAAACACAGAGACCAATAACACACACTTGTGCACATACAGTCAACAACATGAGAGGTTCGCCATAATACAATTACGAAAAATTAAATTTCAGATGCTTAAAATATATAGAGCTTATCAAGCATCCCAGTCTGTACCCGTCCCCATGGGTGTTGCCTAGCGGTAGTGAAGTGGGTGAACATCATGGGACACCAGGGTCAAATCCTACCCATGGTTGAGGTGTGAAAGAATTGGCTCAATCTGTGAAAGGAGTAGAGACGGCGAGATTCCAAAAGTGTTCACAGGTAGATGGAAATTTTATATTTGGTTGTCTTTGGCTCAGTCCATAAAAGGAAAGGTCGAACCACATAAGAAAGTTTTTGAACAGAGATCAATCAAGTATATCCAAGACAAGAACCATATACAACTGATCTAGAAGATTCTTTGTAATTCCATTTATTGGTTAAGTTTAACGTCAAGAGGCACAACTAAAATTGGTGACTTTTTCTGAGCGAAAATCTGTGATCATGCCAACTTTTGGTTACACAAGAATACCATGGCACAATGAAAAACCTATGCAAAAATTATTCAAAAGAAGAAGAAGAATAAAGAACTATCCAGCAGCATCAATTTATGGAAATGGAACTACTCTACTTTTTTTAACTGAATAATCAGTCTTTTTGCATCTTCGAGTGCATAGATAATGTCATCTCCCCCTACACTTCTATCCTTCTTCACCTTACGAGGATTGGTTCACCACAGGATTCAAACTTGTCCGCACTATACTACCTTTGCAAAGAAGAAGAAGAATAAAGAACTATCCAGCATCATCAATATATGGAAGCAGAACTACTCTACTTTTTTTTAACAGAATAATTCAGTCGTTTTGCATCTTTGAGCACATAGATAATGTCCTCTCCCCCCTACACCTCTATCCATCTTCACCTTACAAGAATTGGTTCACTACAGGATTCAAACTTGTCGGCACTATACTACCTTTGCCATATAATGCTATACGAAGTACGACTCTAGCAACAGTTTGATCCTAAGAAACAACTCAAATGGCAAAGGTAACAGATAAGAAACTGATCAGCCATACCCTCAACCTTAGAGGAGTGAACTTCTGTAGCTTTTGCAGCCTTACTGAATTGAACAAATGCATAAAATGGACCTCAATTCTCATAATTTTTAATGACATTGGAATAGAGGTCTGCAATTCCTGCACCTCAACTAATTCATAGGCACCAGCTACAGTCCACACAAAAAAAAGTTCCAGTAACTATGCCTAGGTAGGCTAGAGCAGAAGGGCTCGCACTGAGTGATATAATTGGTATTCAAACAGGAGATCTCTAGGTTATTACTCTTAATTCTCAACCATAAAAAGTACCTGAGAGACCCAGAAATATGTAGAGAAAATTCCTGCCTGTACCACTTAGACTAAAAGATTTGGTGGTTAAATGCATTGGCATTTCTGGTTCTACAGTGATGATCAGAGTCTACAAACCAAAATTCCCACCATGTAGCTCAATTTATGGATTTTCAAGCCTCTAAACTAGCTGAAAACTACACAAAAATCGTACAATTATGTCAAAACTTAACTAGTGATAGCACATTGTAGAAAATGAGAACATCACACAGTTTACCATTTACCTGTGGGGGAAAGTCAAGTACTTAGTCATAGGCACAGTAATTAGATTCCTCCTAGCATTAACGGCAGACTTTTGCACAGCAGCAATAACCTCTTTAGCTTTACCAACTCCAACACCCACTTGCCCTTTTTTATCACCCACAACCACAACAGCTCTAAAATGCAACTGCTTTCCACCTTTAACAACCTTAGTAACTCTCCTAACTTGCACCACTCTCTCGTCAAACCCATCTTTGGCCTTCTCCTTCTTGGTTTTCCCAAACGAAGTAGTCTTTTTCACCTTAGAATCCATTGCATATATGTCATTCCCAAGAAAAGTCTCTCCGCTATAAGCTGCCCCATAAAGCTCTTCATAAGCTTTTGCAATTTCTTCTTCAGACTCCATTGGACCGTCATCGAAAGATGCTGGTTCTATAAAGTCTTCAGGACGTTCTGGAGGGTCATAAGTGGAAATTTCCTCTGGGTCTGTGTTGTCAAAGAAAGTGGTTTCAGCAGTTGTGGAATTTGGTTTAATGGGGTCGAATTTTGTTGGGTTTAAGAGGAGATAAAATGGTGACAGGTTGGGTTTTGGGATGAAGAATGTATGGTGGGTTTGGGATTGAAAAGGAGAAAAGCGAGATGGGGAGCGTAGAGAGAGAGAAGAGAAGGTGGAGAGAGAAGATGCTGCCATTGTTGTTTTGTATCAATGGCGAAGTAGAGAGGAAATAGATGTAGAGAGTGTAATCTTATCCTTTGGATAAAGAAGGAACATGGGCCAAGTTCAGATAGAAGTACGCTTTGGGCCTAATTTTGGGCCTCCTATCATGAATGAAAACTTGTAAACCCACTCATTTATACGAGCTTACAAACTACCTGCGAAATGTAAATCATACTAGACAAGCTTGGTATAACAAGCTCGTACACACATGAAATGTAAGTCGCACTAGAAAAGTCTAGTATACTGAGATCGACTAAAAAGGCCTTGGAGGGGAAATGATTCCTAACCTTTTTCTATAGAATACCACCTATTACATCAAACATTTTTCTATAGAATACCACATATTGCATCAACTCAGCCACCCGTAAGAGTAGACATATTTGAATGAGTTCTTTAGTTAAGGCTAACATTTGAGTCTTTTATTTGAAGGTAGGTGACTCAAGTTCTTTTTGGAGAGGTATTAATTTTACAAGTCTCCAAAGTTTTTCCTGTACCTCCCCTTCCCCTTCTCCTCCACCACCTCTTTGCCTCTGCCTCCACTTTCTGCATTACATACAATGAGCCGTGGAAACTATACTTCACGATGAGTCGATGACGAAACTCATGGAAGAAAAATGCATGACACCAATGAGACATGGAAATTATACTTCACAACTTGAGGAATAGTATTTTCTTCGACAAT